CTGACTTGTGGTACAAATATTATTAGTGTGCTGAAATCTTATTTAGTTACACACATGTGATTGACACAATAGGCACTTGTATTACTGTTTCTTATTGATAAAATTAGGTTCCACCTATGAAAACTCTATATCTTGGGACTGAAGAATCTACTGCTGTTGGCATACGATTCCATCTATCATAGAGACGGAAGATGTGAGAGGAATTTCGGTATTTTTAAGCAAGGGCATTGAAAGGATATCGTATTGCTATTGTAAGATCCCTGAATGAATGAGAAAAGTATACATAGTAGTTTCGCGATAATTTTTCAGGACTATTGATGCGCTCGGTTACAATATGGTCACTGAAAAGCCCCCGGTACGCTTACGTCCAGTTCGATTGCCACAAAACTATCAGCAATTCAACGGCTACAAACCTCAACCGCTGGATGCACGTGAAATCGTGCTTGGTGACGATATGAAGCCTCTAGTGGACGCATTGGCCAAGAATACGCACAATGTGTGGGCGAGAGAGAAGATTAAACGTGGCTGGACATTTGGTTTGAATGAATATGTGGACTCGAATCAGAAACGTAGTCCGCATCTGCTGCCCTATGAAATGGTCGATCAACGTATCAAAGACGCGAATCGTGAATCTGCGATTGAATTCATTAAAGCTTTGCAACTTTTCGGAATTTTCTTGGAACCTCCTGTTCACGAGCATGATGAAGGTAAGTATCGCGCTGTGCACTGCAGTCTGCTATTTTCATCTGCCGATTGTAGCAGCAAGGAAAAGAGCGATTGTAGCAGTAAGGAAAAGAATGACAACCTTTTTAAAATGAATGATTTTTACATATCCGAGTTAAAAAAACACCATCACAATGGCGTTCAATCATAACATAACAACTACACGAAATTTTAATTTCCTGACCTCCTCTATTACCCCTTGACATCTTCAAATTACCTAAAATGGGTAATTTCACCCCCTACGAGAACCACTGAGCTAAGGGAATTCATTTGAGCTTTACACATTTGAGCTTAGTGTTAACCATCAGTGAACTACTGTAATAAAATCATAAATATCGCGTCAAGTTGCCTGTAACCTCAGATTTAACGCTATCATCTCGTTTCACCATAATTTTTGTTTCTTTTCGCCTTAAAGGTGCCGAAAAAGAAGTTCAAGCAATGCAACAGTTCGCACGCACTTATCGGGCCGAAGCAACCTACGCGGTCACCAGCGGCAAATGGTACTTTGAATTCGAGGTTTTGACGCCTGGATTTATGAAAGTCGGCTGGATGGATATTGCATCATCACCGGAAGCTGGAATTGGCATGGATGATCGTTCATATGGTTTTGATGGGTACGTGAGATCAGTCGATAATAGTCTTGGCCAATAGTCAGTAGTCAATCAATCAATTCGGTTCAGTAAATTCAGTGAATTCACTATGATGTGGTTGAGAAGTAAATTGCTCTCATGAGCTGAAATTGATTTTCTCGTACAAACCAACAAGCCCAATAAATGGTTGTTTGATGGTTAACATACGTCGGTTTTCATCGCTCAATTCATGTGTGCTGTGGAAATGAAAAAAGTCTTGCAATTCCCATGCTGATAAAGGATGTCATTTTCATCTTCACTCCCAGTAAATGATGTGTATATCAAGATTTGATTCACTATATCAGTAATCCAGAAAAATAAATTCAGTTTGGCTACTGTATTAACTGCATCAGAAAAAATGCTATAGAGAAATAAATTTCTATTTTAAAATCGAAAATTCAAGCAGATTATGCGATTGCACATCATAAGATCGCAATAAAATGGATAATGCGTAGCACTGCTGATTACCCGCTTTATCATATCAATATACCGTGCATCGTTCACTATAATTGGTCACTTGATTCGCTGGTCTCTCCTTATTTATCAGTTATGATTATTCGGAGGCTCCATTCATATTCGTGGTCCGATTCCAGGTATTTGGTGCGGAAATGGCACCAAGGCGCCGAAACTTATGGTCGCGAATGGAAAGTGGGCGATATCGTTGGGAGCTTTTTGGATTTGAACGATCGCACGATTGCATTCTCGTTGAATGGCGAATTACTTCTGGTTTGTAAACTGTTTAATATTCAGGATTGAGTTCGAGATATTTTAGGTGTTCCCTTAGTTTCCACTGTTCTCTTCGACTCATTGCATGAGAGAACTGATGAAGAATTCTTGGAAAAGAAGCTTGGCGGTAACCGATAAACGATATAGAGACCCGTGGAAAGTACTAGTATCATT